CTGCATTTGCTGCTTTATGTCCCAAACAAATTGCTAAAAATTTCCAGTCAGCTGAAAAATATAAGCATATATTCCATCGATGTCCTTTATTATCTAAATAGCCAGATTTGATTTCATCTAATTCTTGAATTAATGGAGCTAATACAGTTTTTAAAGTTTTATATTTTTCAATACCAGGATATATTAAAAGAGTATAATGTTTTTCGGGATAATAGATAGTACTTAAATCATTAAGCAGTGCAAATGTGAACATTACGTGATTTATTTTTTTTTCAATGTTACGCCCATCCCCTGAAATTCTTATATGTAAAGTTGAATCTGATAATTGGAGAACTCCTTTTTGAACTAAAGAAGGAATAATATAGGACAAAATATCTTTTAAAGACCTATATACTGCCTTTTCTATTGATTTTGTAACTTCAACTATTTCAAAATCATCAATATCTACACTTTCATTTATTTCTGAGTTAGTTTGTGAAATATTAGCATCTAAATTAATAGTTTGAATCGGAATTGCTTGTTGCATTTGATTATCAATTTGTTGCTTCATTTTGGAAATTACCTACTTTTTAGGTAAATCTTGCTTGATTTTTGTAATGGCACGATACATATTACAAGAAATATGCTCCTTATCTATTGTACGTACAATGGCTAATACTTTTAGATCCTCATTAGTTTGCTGATTATATATAACTCGAAACTGTTGCTCATTTGCTGAAAATATTACTTCGTTTAGAATTATTTTATCACTTGGATGAGATGTTGATTGTACTTCGTTATAAAATACTTTTGGAAAAGAAGTTGCTACTTTTTTATATCGTTTATATTTTATTGACTTGCTTAAATCTTGAATAGGCTTAACACTTCGAATTGTTTTTTGTGTTTCAATGTTATTGCTGTTTTGAGAAAATCGTGATCGTTTAATTGCCTGAATATAATCATTACTTGTTATATAATCAGGATCTTGGTCAGTAAACTTAATACATCTATGACATATTTTAGCAGTTGAATCAAGTTCTAATATTTTATAAAATCAAACAGGTAAATTAATAAGTGCATCTTTACTTTTTGTTTGTTCTTTTTTTTTGGTACTTTGCTTATATATACTATGCTTTGGATGGGCACAGTATTCGTTTAATTTTGTTTGATGTTTTTGATAATAGTTTTTATTAACAACTTCGTGATTATAATGTGTTTGGCAAAGACACTTTCCTTCTAATTCTTGACGTCGTTCTTCAGAAATTGGTGTTGAAAAACTGATTGTTCTTAACTCTCCTTTACATAATAGCTGTTCTTCAGACGTACTAAAATAGCACTGACGCGCCATTATAAAAGTATACCGGTACATGCTGATCATCAAATTGCGCTTTTTATGTTTGGCGACATGACTACACAATTTTTTTTTCAAAAAAAAATTTTTTTAATTTTAATAACATAACTTTAATTCGATAATAATAATAGTAAATATCTTTTTTCTTTCAATTCAATTTTGATAACAGTAAGACTATATATTCTACTTATACGGTTACGGCACATTGGGGATCAAAAATATATATGGTATCATATAAAAATTTATTATCGAATTTTTATCGGTAATAACGATAACGTAATTAATGACTATTAATTTATTAATAACACAATATTTAGATGCAGGGCCTTTACTACTAAAAATTAGAAGCTCAAATTTTGAGTAGACCGATAGAAGACCTCTATAATACAAGTTACAGAGCTAAATTTTATATTTACTTTATATATAACTATATAAAAATCGTCTTGCCTTTTTTTAGATGCACAGATTTCACTCTTCTTTTTTAGTAGTAAGTTTCAACGCCACAAAGTTACAGAACTGTTTTTTAAATTATATATGGGAAACAAAATTTTTTTTCCAACTTAATTTATCTATATTATTGTTTGGATAACCTTGACGAAATTTAAGCTGCCAATAAAATTTTTTTTTAAATTATTGTGACACCACATATAGTTTTATTTACTTAGTTGACATACATCCCCAACGGCATATTCCGCCGTAATTGCGTTGAGTCTGTACTGCATTATGTATTTTCCTTCTATTTTTCGCTTAAGGTATAACTGTTACTATAACACTATAATATTATAATGCTATAATTAAGTAACTACGAGACACAGTCACTCCAAACCAGAAACTGACGAATATGTCGTTATATTCCACGGTCCCTAATTTCTCCCATGAACATTTCTGATGAGATGTAATACCGTGGAAATATCAAAAAATATCACACGATATTACATCATCAGTAAAAATTTTAATCAAAATGTTATGGGCATAGGGACCGTGAAATATATCAGATATTACACGTGCGTCGTGAACATCGTGTATTACCACGGCTTCGCCGTGCTAATCCATGATATTCACAACAGCCCGTGTAATATCTATTACATATGCCATACAAGCATTTCATTCACCGGTAAGTATAAAAGTTATTTACTTTCTATTTAAAGTGTAAATAAAAATATTTTATGATTAATAAATTCCATTTAATGAACTCGGAAAAGAAGAGTTTGGTGCGAAAGCTGATGGTAATGAGTTTAATTATGTGGCATTGCTGCATTACGATATTACGACATTACGGCATTGGGGCTTTACGAAGGCGAATCTGATATGAAATTAGATGCGTGCCGTAATTAATTCTACCATTGGTAAAATGCCGTTATTCAGTAATTCTTCCACCAACTTTAATTCTTCTAATTAAAATACCTTATATTTACGCCCGCCGAATCTGTGACTAGGATAAAATCGAAAATCGACGTGTCAAAAAAAGTAAACTTTTACTACTTCATGTTCTAAAGAATTGTTGATATGATAAGTACGATTAAAAGCTATACATTAATACGAGTCGAAATTGTTGATTTAGGTTCTGACTCTGGGATTTTTATTAATGGCGAAAAACTTGACTTTCGTGCTTCCTATTCATTAACAAAAGATGACGTAATTTCAATGGGACGTAGCGAATTTCAATACCTTCCTGCTAGAGAATATAAAAATCGCATAGAATTATTCAATTAGATGCCATTGCTTACGATACGTATTTCAACTTGGTTTTATGGATTATAAATGGTTTCCTGAAAGCCATTTTCTCGAGAGAACACTAAATCAGTCGATATTATAATTAATGCCAGCTCGCCTTTCAAGAAAATGGCTTTCGAGAAATCGTACCATAAACAATTTTATTCTATTATAAAAATGGTTGATAACTTTTAATTTTCACTAAGGTAATACTATAATTATTTCATCAGGAGTTTGGTCTTTAAAACAACGGTATAAGTGGGAATGCCTGCTTTGTAATATATGCTTTAGCGGTATGCCACTTTGTAATATTTGGATTTTTATAATATCGATAAAATAGTTTAGACTGTATTTTGTATTTTTAAATTTTACAACATTTATTCAGATATTGCAATATAATTTATTTGATACATATTTGAATTCGAGACATAGTAAAGCTATTTGTCTGAATATTATGAATTGCGAAAAGTCTAAATAGTAAAACTCGAGACTTAGTACTATAATACTATGTTACCTACAATTCACCGCGTTGAATATAAGACCTCCTCGTAAATATCCTTTTTAAATAATTTCGCGTACTATTCAATTGTAGATTTTAGCATTTTTGAAAAGTATCTAGTACTCGGTACCAATTAAATGGCCAATTGGATTAGAAGTTTTTTATTTACGTACATACGTATTCAACAGATTTGTCTAAAAGCAGGCGCTTTTTTTTTTTTTTTTAAAAAAAAAAAAAATTATTAATTATCTTATCCATCTATGAACAATCTTTTAAATACTAACAAAAAATCCCTTACCAGAATTATACTTGTCGTTACTTCCAATTAATGCTTGGCAAAATCGAATAAAACTCGATTTTCAAGTTTTTGATTTCAGACAATCAAAATCCATTTTAATACTGTATTATATAAATGCTGATTGTCCGAAATCAAAAACTCTTGAGTTTTATTCGATTTTGTCGAGCACTACTTCCAATTCTGATAACTAATGTATTTCAAAAGGCGCATGTACAAGAAATTGATAAATTCAATAGTTTGTTCCAATATTATGAGACAAATTGATATATATTACGTTCATGACTCGAATCAATGATTCTTCAACTACATATTTAACACTTGACTTTTTTGAATAAGACTAGAGTATTGCATATAATATTATGTAGTACTTACGAACTTTACGAATTGAGAATATTCAAAACTTAGTAGTATTGCATAGCTAAATAATATATAGATATAAAATTTGAAACTTAATAATAAATTTACTAACCGTTTCAATATTATGGACCTCAACAAACAATGCTACTGTTTTCGAATAATCTTTCCATTATATAACCCTTTTTGCGATAAAAAAAAAGTATTTAATATAAACCATAAATATTAATTTGTCTCTATTAATAAAATTTTTAACCTAATGTACCATGATTTTACTCACTTAAATAAACTATAAAATAATCAAAATACGGATTAGTAAATAAGTAATACACGAGCAAAAAAACTTCAAAATCGTTAAAATAAAATTAATAGTTGTTTTTAAGTTGTTAGTTGAACTTCCATACCTTAGAATAGATCTATTTTAAATTTGCTACTTGAAGTTTTATTATATGTAAATGGTCCGATTATCTCACCAATCCTCTGATTATATTGTGTATAAACTCCTTTAAGTGTGAGCTATATACTTGCTAATTTTTATAATCTTTGCGTTCGTATATCAGCTTTTGTATTACGTTTTGCTCTAAATTGTATATGATCTACTAGTTCAAAATGTCTAACGTATCAGGCCCAGAAAGACCAAAAGTTGATGGCGGATTTGAAAGAGATTCCGGAGAAGATATTCTCAAACAAATGAATAAAGTTCCTTTATTCATGACAGAATTACCGGAAGAAGAAAATGATGCACTTGCAGCTTTACAATCTTTAATTTACGAGGGTCCACCTGAAGGTATTTTAATCTAAAATTTGGATAAATTTTATTTTAGAATTTAACTAAAAATCTTTTATATTCTATAGAAGTTGCCGAGAATTTTAAAAATCAGGGGAATGAATGTTTTAAAATTGGAAAATCACAATATCAAGATGCGATAAATTTTTACACGAAAGCATTAGAAACAAATTGTCAAGACAATAAAATCATTGAAGCATGTTTAACAAATCGTGCAGCTGTTAATTTAGAATTATGTAAGGTAAATTATAAAATTAATTTTTTCACTAGAATAATAACATCTATTAATTTTATTATTATATTTACTATTCAAGATTATTTTTCTTTATAGAAAATCATCGTAAAGTTCTTACAGATTGTGCGAAAGCCATTAAATTAAATCCTCAAAATGCCAAGGCATTTTATCGTTCTCCAAAGGCTTTATATGCACTTGATAAATTTGATCAAGCTTTAGATTGTTGTGAACATGGAATTGAAGTAAATATTAATATTTTTTCTATACTATATATAATGTGCAAGACAATCTTTTCATAATTAATTATGTTTGTATAATGTTATCAGATGGAACCAATAACTTAGCTTTACAACAATTAAAAAAGACATGTATTAAACGAAAAAGATATTGGATCAAAAGGCTAAAATTAAAGAAGAGCGTGAACGAAAAGAACGAGAGAAAAAAGAGTCATTAGAGGAAGCTATAAAGGTTTAAAAATATTATATATGTTAACTATATAACGTTATTTAATCAAAATAATAATAATAATAATAATTTATTTTTATAAATAGATGCGTAATATTAAAATGGAAACAACACCCAATACAGCAATACCGATATCACCTCATTCAGTACATCTAGATACAGAAACTCAACAATTAATTTGGCCCGTTTTTTTTCCTATATCCAGAATATAAGGAATCCGATTTTATTGAAGCATTTAATGAAGGAAATACATTTTTGAAGTGATATTTGACCTTGAGACATTGAACATAAATATACACCAAATAATATACAAATTCACTACGAATATACGTTATCAACAGGAAATGAAGAGAAACAAAAGCTAATCAGAATTGGTAAGAATTGCACTTTAAAAGAAGTATTGTCACATCCAAAATATGTCATAAAAAATGGTATTCCTAGTTTTATCATTTTACAACAACAAGGAAAGTTTCAAGAGAAATTTTTGGCAAAATATAAGAAAGTTAATGAATAAATATACATTATTTTTTATTATTCTCAAATTCATTGTGCTTCATAAATTTCAGTCATTAGCACTGAGTAAGGATATATATATATAGCGATAGTATGTGTTATGACTATCAAATGTTGTCTGAAATTCAGTTATCAATTCTCGGGACCAATAAAGTTAAATTCTCTTAATTTTCTTTTAAAACTTTCAGCGCCGGATGATTTAAAAACCAAGTAGTCATTTGAGATTATTAAATTCCAATTAGGACACCTGTACGATCTAAAAGGTTTTTGGTTCAAACATATAGATCCATCGCTAGCAATGGTCCACTTTAAAAGTTTTTTTTTTTTTTTGAAAAAATAATATTTCAACGTGCGAGTCATTAAAAAATATTGAAGATCATATTATTATATAACACAAACCGAAAAATACTGTTTAAAAGGAAGATGATGAATGTAGGTACCGTCTTGATAGAATTCCACTAACGTGTCCCTGGGATTATCAATAGGCTGTAAAGTGATTTTATATATATATATATATATTTATTTATTTATTTAATCTTAACTCGTAATATACCAATGTTAAAATAGACTTATGTGACTTACTTACCGCACAGTACCAAATATTTTCAACCAAGTCATTCGCGTCCAATGAAATTCGCGTTGCTTCTTTCTCAACGAAATCATAAACACGTTTCCAGGCACCAGGACTTTCAAACCAAAATCTGCGATTCCTATCGCATACTTCTCTCATTCCCTCTTTATCTTCCCAACGGTTTAAAGCCATTCGACTCCAAACCACATTGTCTGAAATTAAAATATTACAATAACGTGAAACTCTTGCTAAACTACGTAAAGCTTGTTCGTCAAGTTTATGAAAAATTAAATAAAATAGTTCGAGAGGGAGTTGTATAAATTCCAACATTAATGAAGATGGAAGAAAAGTAAACGAAATTAAGGTCTAATTATAATCGACGCGAGTAACGACGCGCATTTCTTCATTTATAATTAACTACATATGATTTCATGTGAAACCTAGGTTATGAAAACAAAGAACCTCTAAAAACATATAAGACTCAAGGTTGTAACAATACGTGTAACTAAGACACTTACCCGGTGACTAACCGAGGTTTTTTTTTTTACATGAAACATTTTTTCATGAAACAAAATAATCACAATAGCTATTACAATGTTAAAACCAAATATATCCATCATAATAAGGTAATAATAAGATATTCAGACCAAAAAGAGATTCAAAAAACGATTGCAATTTATAAAAAAATTGAATCAAAAAATTCATAAAATTTTGTAATAAATATATTATATATTATCGTTATAATATAATTATATGAATATATATATTGTCATTCAGTAGTTTAGAAAGTTTAGAAAGTTTAGAAAGTTTAGAAAGTTTAGAATAGAGATATGAGTACGTCTAGAGTTGAGAATTTTGGCGCGAACGAACACTAAATTTTATAAATATAGTAGGAAGTATGGTTAAAATCATACAGTACAGCAGTAGATTATCAATCAACCAATGACTAATAGATTGATCACAATTGTTCGAATTTTATCCGAATATTAATTTGATAAATTCCGAATATCTCAGAATTTACTGAATATGCAAAGCTCAGATGATGTTTGACGATCTTTAAATAATACGCATAAATCTATTATCGTTCCTTTCGAATTTGACCAATCAAATGAATAAACTCAATCTTTTCCCACAATTTCTATTGGTTGAGATTATTCGAATTCATCTCGATTAGAGTTAACGTTAAGAGCAAGGAATTTTATTAATGTGGGGAAGACCGGATCTATCCAGTGTTGTATATTAGTTGTATATGGGGGTAGGAACATTGTGTCCGTGACAAATGTCCTTAGATGCATAATTTAATTGGATGATTTTTTAAACAATAGATTAGGTTATTTGTTTAACGTTTAACCATGATTGGCTACCAGTTAAACTTTATAAGCAATTGAATTGTTAATTATACTAACGCTAATACGGGCAAGCATATAGATGGCATACAATGATAACGCTATGATAAAAATTTCATATGATAAATTTCATACGTACTGATATATTTCATACGTACTGATATCATTGATTTAATGTCATAATACGTTTAACTGCAGAACTGTGTACGTAATGCTGCATCTCTTAGTTGTGTCGATATTATTGTATTTACTATAAAAATATTGATTGAAAGCTACCTAAATCTCACACATATATATATATTACGTATATTGAATACAACGATACTTTTAAGTAAAATACTCATTTTTTTTAAAAAAAATACATTATATTATACGTATATAAATAAAAATAACAACGATAAAAAAATCAATTTGTTAATTAATTATGAATTAAATAATGTTATCGTTATTTATTTACTAGCATTTGACCCACGGATGTTTAGAAATATATAGCATTTTTTTAACATTACGTAAGTATATACGTATCAAAATTTAGCTGTTTTCAGTTATTGGCCATATATCAAAAATGCAGAACCAAACCCATTTTGCACTGGGGAGTGATTAGCATTGCAAACTTAATTATATTAAATGCAAAGATAATTTAAATTACGAAAACTATTATTGACAATATTTACAAAAATTACAGTATTTACAAAATTGCAGTATTTACAAAAATTGCAGTAATTCAATAATTATTTTTATCATTGATAAGTAGCATGATCAATTTAAGCTCACTATTTATGAAAAAATCGTATAATTTAAATCTCTTCGAACTTGTTTCTATTAATATAATCGACGAACTAGCTGCTACAAATTTATCTTTAAACATGTCAGACCAAAGTGATACGTATTCAGAAAAACAAAATAAAACACTAAAACGAAAAAGTGCAGGTCGCCCAAAAGAAAAAATTTTGATTATTATATAACAAGTAATGATATTAACGATCGTAGTGCGACTTACTCTATGGACGTCCTGCAGAAATGGAAGCACATCTTGCAAACATTTGTCCTAATGTTCCTAAAGATATAAAAGAATATTGGCAAGAATCACTTTCAAATAAAATTATTAATATAATGCTTTATATTGTACGTACAGTACATACGTACATAGTTTAAATAAACTTGTACGTACTTTGAAAACCACAATAATTATTAAAAATGCAAAAATAAAATTTCCGATTATTTACTAAATGGGAAAAAGTTTATGAGTATAATATGATGAAACTAAAATAACTCAATTTACCTGTCACCAAAATAAAGGCCATACATACTGGTTCAGATGCTAGAAAAGCACCTTCTGATACAACAAGTGGTCTTGAGCCAGTTTTGTTTCTATCAGTTGGAGCCCATATAATGCTCACCTCTAATCTTTGGACAAATCAAGGATTGGTTAATGGTGCGATGGGTACAATTGTTGATATTGTATATGAACTTGGAAAGAAGCCACTCAATTGTCTACATTAATTCTACTCAAAATGGACAATTATACAGGACCAACTTTATCTATAATTGATGGTTTACAAGTGGTACCAATTCGTCCAATTAAATATACTTGGGAAGGGAATTAGGAACTTGTTCTCGTATGCAATTTCCTTTGTGCCTTGCTTGGGCAATTACAATTCATAAACCGCAGGGCTTAACATTACCACAAACTGTAATAGACATCGGCGATAAGGAGATTGCTATAGGTCTTACATTTGTTGCTGTGTCAAGCGTTCGTGCTCTTGTTGATCTTCTTTTTGGTAGTACCTTTACTTATAATAGATAGAGATTAGCTGAAGAGCAGAGATTACTTTCTTTATAACTTTGTGATTTATTTATGCTTGTCCGTATGCGTGTGAATATAAAATATATTGCTTAAATTAACACACATTAGAATTAGATTTTTATTATATATTATATATTTTGGTAAATGTTAGGTAAACTACAGATAATACGTACTAACAATTTTTTTTTAATTTAAAACCCAATACATAAGGCTCCAGCCCTATAAAACGCGCCGTTTTATTACTAGTTTATTAATCGATGTACTTTAAAACGATATACCTGTGCTGATTTGGTTATTTTCAAACCGATTCACCCAATAAATGTAACAATTATTTATTATGGTGGTTTGTGGATCCTGTGATTTCGTGATATGATAACAGCGGAAAATTTCCGAGATTTTAATTCCCTATTGTTCATAATTTTCAATCAATAACATCTATATTTTATTCGAAATTTTTAAAAACCGAAAAATCTACTAGAATCGGCGATTTTACATGAAATCTTGATCACACCTTCATAAAACAGGAGGAAACGTTGATGTTACACAACTGGTTTTACACACAGTGTGAAACACATAAAAAAATTATTTTACAATACTTGATCGGACTTGATCAGTCAGCTAGTACATGTTATGATTATAATCCAACACCATTTTTTATTATAAAAAAATGGTGTTGGATTATAATCATAACATGTACTAATAATTTTTTTTATAACATCGACGTTTCCTCATGTGATCATCAAAAAAGAAATCACTTGCGATTTCTGATTTCTTAAAACCTACTCCGATATTGGATATGAAATAACCACCTAGCATTACACCCAAATCAGTTATGTTGAAAATTAAATGAGTTATTTTATTTGAGAATAATACTATTCGAATTAAAGATTGAAATTTAAAAGACAAGGTTTATATAAATAAAATTTTGAAATTTAGATTTATATAAATAAAAATTTGACATTAAAAAAAAATAATAATGAAATTATAAATTCACCGTTCGAATCATTATAATTTAAACTATGGTTCATATTTCGCAAATATTTTAATTTATTGCCAATAAAAGGTGTTCTTATTACTTTCACCTATGTTTTCAGAATATTTTTTGCTTGCTCCAAATTTTTTATACAGTATCTTCCATCATTTTTTGAGGCGGTACAAAGTTTGATTCAACATTTTTTTTTTGATTCGGAAGTTCGCTTGCAGATGATTTATAATATATATACCTTATTAATTTGTCGGTGTAGTTTTAAGAAATCAGAAATCACCTAGAAATCGCGAGTGATTTCATTTTTATGATCTACAAATTTCACAAAATTATGCAAAAAACCGCAATAATAAAAATTATGGAAATAACACATTTACTTTGGATTTTGACCAAGAATCACTTTGAAATTGTATAGGGGAATGGGATACAATACATCATTTTGTAAATCGCGGTAAATATGAATGCTGCAAAGTGAAAACCTGTAATTTCGTTTTCTGCCGCCTCTGCTTTCTGATCCGACTCCTGATAAATTTAAATTATATATCGATATTATTTGATGCATTTTTCGGTGTTTGATCTGTAAAATTAATTTCGGAAAACTCACAATTACATGTTTCGCTTTGCAGCACTCATATGATAAAATGATTTTGGAGATTTAATTATCGTACATATTAAGTATATGTATGCTATTTTTAAACCTGAAAATTATTATAAACGGTTGTTTTTCTTCATGTTAATATTAGACACGATAAGATGATTTTTAATTCAAAATATCCAGACGTTGAAATTCCCAAAGTAGGAATTTATCAATATGCAACCAGTAATCAAAATAAAATTTCAGACAATAAGGTCATATTTATTGATGGAATTACTGACGAAAAAGTTACTTTTGGCAAATTAAAAAGAGATTCGAAAAGGTTTGCGGCTAGATTACAAGACAAAGTTGGATTTAAACGTCATGATGTGTTGGGAATCTTCTCACCTAATCATGTATAATTTCACCCTTATCGTTATCATTATTTAATTCAAAATTCAATTTAACAATGTTTTTACGTAGATTGACTATCCCACTGTTGTTTTTGGTGCGATAGCAGTCGGTAAGTTAATTACACATTAAATATATATTAAGAGACCGTGATTTATAAGTTTTCTAATGAAATTTAGGCGGAAAAGTGACAACATCAAATCCGAA